ACTGAGTGGTATGATCCAGACTTTTTTTTTAGAATTAATTGATGTCTCCTCTGAATCAAACGCGCTGATGGTTTTGTTGACATGTTTTTCCATGTGGGTGGATGTCAACTCCATTCACCGTCCACAATTGGATCTAAGAATTAACCAATGTTGGATTTTCTTGACATTTAGGACTTCCCAATTACCAATGAAGATCATCTAATCTCAACAAATGGATGGGACAATTGACAGGAGACCCATGGTTTTGACCCTCAAATTTTCCAGGGAGTCCTGTTGATTTTATGCACCTTGGAGCAAGTGGACAGCCGTCCCGCTGTCATTGGCGCGTCCGCTAGGGAGCAAACCTCTGCCGATTTTTTTTGCGGTTGCGATCTCGTGAGTGCTAGGAGAGTGAAGGTTCCTAGCCTGCATTTACCATCGATTTTCGCATGATTTCGAATTGCAAGATGGCCGTCTTATATTATTGGGGACCATTCTTTGGCTTTCAAACTTCGAGTTGGGTCACCACAATCAACCACACACACTGAACATCTCTGCTTTTTGTGAAGGTTATATCAGTTATATCCTCTATTTCCGAGCCAATCCTAGTGCTGAGGGTCACTTCACCTTGGCATGTAATTCAAAGAGGCTGACCAACGGAGGTTGATTTTCCCAAATAGCCTGTCACTGACACCACATCTTGGGGGCGACTTTTGTTTGGATTAGTACGAAATAAGTTTGCCAAACTTTCGGCAACACAAATCATGATCGCTGTGTGGCTTCAATCATGTTCAATCCTTGAATTCTGAAAACTGTCAAGTCCTAGGTCCTAGGTCCGCGTCCCAATGGCCGTCCCAAGTCCCCTTCCAGTTTTCGGCGAGAGACCGCCAATGCCAGATTCGTTTCAATCGCCGTTGCCTACGATTTGGTGATTGATCCCTTCCGCCTATCGCCACCCAGTGAAATGTATTGGATCGAAAAAAATGGCGTGATAGGGTTACTTTGTAAATTACCCTCTGGTTATGACTAACAGTTTGCCATTGAAAATCACCATTTTTAATAGGTAAACCATCTATCAAGGGGCCATTTTCCATGGCTATGTTAAATAACCAGAGGGTATATTGAATTGATGATAGAACTTGTTCATCTTTAGGCAGACTCGTAAAGGTGCGAGACAACCGATGAGGAACGGAAAAAGGGGGCTGCAAAGTCAATCTTGACCCGCATTTCGGGGGGTCACGTCACAACATTTACCGCAAAACAACACTAGCAGTAGCGGCAACAACAAAACACATATAAACAAATCGCATCCACAAAACATGTTTCCAGAATATTCCAGACCCTGAGACTAGACTATTATGGGATGGTGATTTAGCTTGTTGAGTATTGACCCAGAACTCTTTGCCTAGTGGCACTGCTGAAGCAATTGACACGGCGCCTGACCATTGCGTTCTTGCTTCAGCAAGTCTGCCAGTATCGCATGCGGTGCAAAGGCACCATAACCTGTGACTCGAGCACAGGTTAAGGGGCAGCAATGCTTTTTGGTTGGTTGATAGCATTGATAGCATTGATAGCCATTGATATCAACCGTCATTATCAATCATATTCAACTATACATCCCAATTTTTGCCCATCTTTCAAATATATTCAAACATATTCAAGTTTAATCATCAAACACCAGGTTTTTTGGGCCCAGCTGGCTTCCTCAACATGGCAGTCCCGCCTAGGTGGACCATGGGGCAATCTGCGATGGGACCGGGCTATTCCCGGGCGGGGCGTTTTGCAACTCGCCGGAAGCAACAGGTGCATCGAGGTGTTTCCAGACGCACGGGACTCACGGGACCCAATGTTTGGTCAAAATTCTGAATGGGGCTGAGGCAAAAAAACCCAAAAAAAACAAAAAACTCCCAAAAACCTGTTTTTAGCTGCACAAAAAAATATCATCATACGGTCATACGGTCTAATGTTGGGTCCTGATTAGTACCTAGGGTCGCTATTGTGGCAAATTTTTTCCAAATTATTCTGAAACTCATGTATTGTTTGGAGGGTTCGCTTTTGTGGCAAAACAAAATTGGGAGAGCCCTTTTTTTTTGCAAAAAAAACTGTAATTGCTGAGAGGCATTTTTTTTTCTCAAAAACGCTATAGCTCAGTCAAGGTAGGTTTGTTTGCTGGGTTCACTATTGCAGCAAGCTGTGCCAGAGCAGCCCCTGGAAGCCCAGAAGGGAAGCAAGCCATTTCCAAAATTGCCAAATTCAAACTCCAAGCCTTTCCCAAGAGAACCAATCCCTTATTAAACCCTTATTAAAGAACAGCTTCTCCACAATTTTCCAAGGCCCTGGACCAGGAGAGGCCCCATTTCACTTTAGTAGGTTTGTTTGCTGGGTTCACTATTGCAGCAAGCTGTGCCAGAGCAGCCCCTGGAAGCCCAGAAGAGAAGCAAGCCTTTTCCAAAGGCAATTGCCAAATTCAAACTCCAAGCCTTTCCCAAAGGAGCCAATCCCTTATTAGACCCTTATTAAAGAACAGCTTTTCCACAATTTTCCAAGGCCCTGGACCAGGAGAGGCTCCATTTCACTTTAGTAGGTTTGTTTGCTGGGTTCACTATTGCAGCAAGCTGTGCCAGAGCAGCCCCTGGAAGCCCAGAAGGGAAGCACGCCTTTTCCAAAATTGCCAAATTCAAACTCCAAGCCTTTCCCAAAAGAACCAATCCCTTATTAAACCCTTATTAAAGAACAGCTTTCCCACAATTTTCCAAGGCCCTGGACCAGTAGAGGCCCCATTTCACTTTAGTAGGTTTGTTTGCTGGGTTCACTATTGCAGCAAGCTGTGCCAGAGCAGCCCCTGGAAGCCTAGAAGAGAAGCAAGCCTTTTCCAAAGACAATTGCCAAATTCAAACTCCAAGGCTTTCCCAAAGGAGCCAATCCCTTATTAAACCCTTATTAAAGAACAGCTTTTCAACAATTTTCCAAGGCCCTGGACCAGGAGAGGCTCCATTTCACTTTAGTAGGTTTGTTTGCTGGGTTCACTATTGCAGCAAGCTGTGCCAGAGCAGCCCCTGGAAGCCCAGAAGGGAAGCAAGCCTTTTCCAAAATTGCCAAATTCAAACTCCAAGCCTTTCCCAAAGGATATTGAACCCTTATTAAACCCTTATTAAAGAACAGCTTTTCCACAATTTTCCAAGGCCCTGGACCAGGAGAGGCTCCATTTCACTTTAGTAGGTTTGTTTGCTGGGCTCACTATTGCAGCAAGCTGTGCCAGAGCAGCCCCTGGAAGCCCAGAAGGGAAGCAAGCCTTTTCCAAAATTGCCAAATTCAAACTCCAAGCCTTTCCCAAAAGAACCAATCCCTTCTTAAACCCTTATTAAAGAACAGCTTTTCCACAAGTTTCCAAGGCCCTGGACCAGGAGAGGCTCCATTTCACTTTAGTAGGTTTGTCTGCTGGGTTCACTATTGCAGCAAGCTGTGCCAGAGCAGCCCCTGGAAGCCCAGAAGGGAAGCAAGCCTTTTCCAAAATTGCCAAATTCAAATCTAAACGCCAAGCCTTACCCAAAGACCCAATCCCTTATAAACCCTTATTACAGAACAAGAGCTTTTCACAATTTTTCCAATGCCCCTGGGCCAGGAAGGCTCCATTTCACTGGAGTAGGTTGGTTTTGCTGGTTTCGCTATTGCAAGCAAGCTGTTCCGAGCAGCCCTGGACATCCCAGAGGGAAGCAAGCCTTTTCCAAATGCATTGCCCAATTCAAAACCTCCAGCCTTTTCCCAAAAGAACCAATCCCTTATTAAACCCTTATTAAAGAACAGCGTTTCCACAATTTTCCAAGGCCCTGGACCAGAAGAGGCTCCATTTCACTTTAGTAGGTTTGTTTGCTGGGTTCACTATTGCAGCAAGCTGTGCCAGAGCAGCCCCTGGAAGCCCAGAAGGGAAGCAAGCCTTTTCCAAAATTGCCAAATTCAAACTCCAAGCCTTTCCCAAAGGAACCAATCCCTTATTAAACCCTTATTAAAGAACAGCTTTTCCACAATTTTCCAAGGCCCTGGACCAGGAGAGGCTCCATTTCACTTTAGTAGGTTTGTTTGCTGGGTTCACTATTGCAGCAAAGCTGTGCCAGCTGGCCCTTGGAAGCCTTGAATTTAGCTGCCTGTTCCAAAAACATGGGCCAAGCATGAACTGAGCATGTTCCCAAAGGAGATTAAACTAAAGAACAGCTTTTCCACAAGTACTACATGTACTACAAGTACTACAAGTACTACATGTACTACAAGTACTACAAGTACTACATGTACTACAAGTACTACAAGTACTACAAGTACTACAAGTACTACAAGTACTACAAGTACTACAAGTACTGCAAGTACTACAAGTACTACAAGTACTACAAGTACTACAAGTACTACAAGTACTACAAGTACTACCAGTACTACAAGTACTACAAGTACTACAAGTACTACAAGTACTACAAGTACTACAAGTACTACAAGTACTACAAGTACTACAAGTACTACAAGTACTACAAGTACTACAAGTACTACAAGTACTACAAGTACTACAATTACTACAAGTACTACAAGTACTACAAGTACTACAAGTACTACAAGTACTACAAGTACTACAAGTACTACAAGTACTACAAGTACTACAAGTACTACAAGTACTACAAGTACTACAAGTACTACAAGTACTACGAGTACTACAAGTACTACAAGTACTACATGTACTACAAGTACTACAAGTACTACAAGTACTACAAGTACTACAAATACCACAACTTCATCGGCAAAAAAACAATAATAATTAGATTTCAATTGTAGCCAATTGAAATCCTTACTTAATCGAGGATATGTTTTTCTTTTGGGAAGATTTTTTTTGCTTTTCTACTTTAAAGAGAGTCCAGATATAGTTTAGGGGAGGGGGGGGGGCCACACACTAATCAGGAACCAACATTAAGGAGTATCTGAGTCCGCGTTCGGAACACGTCTGATCTCTGACAAAAATCGAAAGATCCAGCGCCGCACTTTTTCGTCGCTGGGGATGGTTGACCCTGCGAGCAAACTCTCTCCGTTTGGAGAGGATCTTCTGGGCGATTTTCAGATGCCCGCCCTACCTCCAGCTACCTCCAGGCCGTCTTTGTGGACTTTGGGCGCTCCAAGACCTTCCAAAGTTCAGAAACCGTCACCATTAGACTCTAGACAGCCATCAGGGGATCCTTTTGGGCCATATGTGGCACTTCAATCTTGATGGGAAAACAATCTAGTCTAACTCTTGGATGACATTTTGCAATCTCCGAGTTGCAGGTATGGGAATGTAACCAACGTCACAAACGCTTGGTGAAGATTTGAACCATCAACAAAAAGAGAACTGTTGAACTCAGAAAACTGAAGGGATCCTACCTGGTGATGGTTCATCATCGTCATCATCATCATCATCGTCATCATCGTCATCATCATCATCATCATCATCGTCATGATGATCATGATCATGATCATGATCATGATCATGTTCATATTCTTCTTCAGACTCGTAATCATATTCAAAATATTTCAAAATCATATGCGTATGTAATTTTCATATTTAATATGTATGTTATTTTATTCGTAAAATTGGTCAAAAACCAAGCATACCCAAACATACCCAAAGAACTGCAAGTTTAAGTATTCCAACTTGCAGGGCAGTCTCCCTCTGAGTCTGCAGCGTGTGATCGAGTCCTGCTCAAGCTGGCACTACCTCAAGGATCAGTTGTGGCCCAATGGCCGTGTCCGAAAATGGTGGTTTCACCGTTTCACCAGCCCAGTTATGGCCCGAAAATGTCGGGAAAAAATTGATTCAACTTATTCAACATCTTCTGGGCTAGCGAATATTTGTTCAGATCAACATCTCCGGCAGTTCCGGCAGTGGCTCCTGGTGAACTATCTCCACGATGGGCTAGTGGGTAGGAATAGACTTGGGGCACCAACACCATGGATTACAGTGAATGGTTTGAATCACTAAAAATAGGTAGTTGCCAAGTGATTTCCAGTTGTAATTCAGAGCAAACACGTGGTGAGTTCGGCGATCCTTGAATATCGGTCAAATCTCATGCTGCTAGAATCACGATCATACAAATCATGTTAAACCTTCATCATTTTCTGTCAAACTCCCCATGGAGTGTGGATTTAATTGCTTGCGAGTTGAAAGACACTCTCATATGATCTCATCTGTATCCATGTCTGACTGGCTTAATCCGAACAAACAAAAGAACATGTGACCGTTTCTTGAGATGGGGGACCCAACATCCAATTTACTGGCAATGCTGCATGGTTTTCCCTTATCCAATCCACCATTATCAACCATGATTAACCATCATTAACAATCGTTAACCCATTAAGTCAACCAGTATTCGTATGGCTTAAGGTTATTTACTTTACCCATTAAACAACCGTTATCAACCCCAGATCTCAGCTTTCCGGCTCGCTCGTGGCCTCTCAGCCTGTTAAGGGGAAATCCATGGGGTTTGCCATGTTTTTGTTGGATAAAGGTTCCGTGCAACCCTGACGTGGCTCCGCGCCGGAATTGCGGAAAGGTTGCGTATTTTTGACATGCCATGTGGGTGGACTTTCAATATGTAGATGTATATGTGATCCATGATCATCATCATCATCATCATCATCATCATCATCACCGTCATCATCACCATCATCACCATCATCATCATCATAGTCATCATCATCATATAATCATCATCATTGGATGAATCATCATCATCATCATCATCATCACCATCATCATCGTCATCCCTGATGAAAAAAGTTGATGCTACTATCAGATTCAGCATATTTGCCACAGGTGGTGGAAGTGTTGTTGATCCCTTATGAAGATATGTTGATGCTATCATCAGATTCAGCATATTTGTCAAAGGGGGTGGTGGAGGATTTGTTGATCACTTATGAAGATAAGTTGATGTTGTTCCTTATTCAACATATTTGTCAGAGGGAGTGGTGGATCTGATGATCCCTTATGAAGATAAGTTGATGTGATTACCTCATTTAACATATTCGTCGGAGGTGGTGGTGGATTTTTGGCCCCTTATGAAGATAAGTTGTTGTTATTCCTTATTCAACATAGTTGTCAGAGGGGGTGGCGGATGTTGATATCCTATGAAGACAAGTGGGTGTGATTATTCCATTTAACATATTTGTTATAGGGTGTGGTGGATTGCTGATCCCTTATGAAGATGAGTGGATGTGATTAACCCATTCAACATATTTGTCATAGGGGGTGGCGGATTTATGATCTCTTATGAATATAAGACATATAAGTTGATGGTGTTGCCCCATTCCACATGAGTTGACACTGGTGATCATCATGATCATGATGATGAGATCATGATGATGAGATCATGATGATGATGATGATGATGATTGTAAGTGAGACCATGATCGTGATCATGATGATGATGATCATGATGATGATGATGATGATGACGGTGACGATGATGATTGTAAGTGTGGAACAACGTCCGGGTTGAACGGAACATGTTTAAGGGGTTTTCAAACTGCAGATTTTATATTCATCCAATTTTTAGATTTGGATTTTATTCTAGTAGATTCAGTGGGTTTTCCTTCTTTTTAATTTGTGTTTCCTTCATCCAATTCCAGGGAATATAATATGCAAAACAGAATTCTTGCGATTCTTGGGGTATATGTTTCTCGTTTATGCGCTCAATTTGTTTTAATCATTGTCAACCAAATCAGAGCTTATCTTAGGTAACCTGCATTTTTAAAATGTTGGTGAGTTTCTATCGCCATTGATGGCAAAAGATTGAAGTACAAACTACCCTACGTCAAAGCTTTTCAAGTGAGAAGTGTTCAAAACCCCAAAATCGTGTCCCTTGAAAAACTGATTGCTTGTAGAACGGGATTCCACGTTCACAGATTCTGATATTCCCCATGAAATATTGGTGAGTATAATCCCCGAACAAATCACCAATCAACATTCATCAAGTAGTCATGGTGAACCCCCCATAAAACATCATTAAAAAAATCATAAGACATCATAAAAAAATATAAGACATCATAAAAAATCATAAGACATCATAAAAAATCAAAAGACATCATAAAACATCAATAAAACCCATATAAAACCCTTTTCAAGGGTTAAAATCATCCACCAACCATCAACCAGCACCCTCTTGGTACAGCTCGCTGCCCGGCCCTCGAAGGAGTGGCCGGATAGTAGAACTCGCCCTAGGCTTCGCCGCGGGGCTTCGCCGCTGCGGTGATTTCCTACAATGTTCACGAACCTTCGTCAGATTTCATCCACTATTTTAGAATTACCATCTGCTTATGACATTCACAGTTTGCCATGGAAAGATCCACCATTTTTAAGAACGGTAAACCATCTATTTTTATGGGCCATCTATACGATGGCAAACTGTGAATGTCATAACCGCTGCGGGTATCTCCAGTACGTCTGGATCCAGTCGGGATTTGAGATAATAATTGTCGGGATTATCCACAAAATCCGATTCGTGAAACGCTGCAGTTTTCGGATCTTGTGTTTACTGAAGTATCATGAATTAGAACATGCCCTCTGGTAAACTAACATAACTATGGAAAATCACCATTTTCAATAGGTAAATCCACTATTTCTATGGCCATTTTCAATAGCTACATTAAATTACCAGATGATGATCATCATGATGATGAATATTGTTTTCATGATGATGAGGGTATCTCCATGAATCTTGCTGATTTTTCGAATACTTCACGAATCTGGGGCACAAAAAAGGGGTGATTGAATGGGCTGTTTCCCTGAATCCTAACCATCGTTGCAGTGCACAATTCTTGAATACCCCCATCTGTTAACATCTGTTAAGTTTTCCGTTTCTTGGTAAGGGTATGGATTCCCATGCTTTTGGTGGTATCTTAATGCTTGTTTGGTTCTCTTACCACCTCTACTGTGTTGTCTCCTCATCTCTTGTTTTGTCACGTGACATTTCCTTTTTACGCTAGCAGCATGTGGCAGGAAACCATGGTAGCTATCACTATCTAAAAACATGGAGCAGTCCTACAAAAATGTCCCTGTGAAACCTAAACCTAAAACAAATCCGGAATATGTTCTTCTCTGGGTCATGTTCTATTGGTGATTTCTTATTTGAAAATTCCCTGCAGCCAAAATATCATGTCGTGTGATCTGTTCCCCCTTTACAAAGCAATCATCTTGTGTGAAGCCTGCACAATATGTATACAACGATAAAATCAGACATTACTGTGTATATAGAAACATAGTAAAATATTGCGTCATTCTATATAAAACAATAGTATATGATAGTATATAATAGTCAAAGGAAGTTGGGAAGCAATCTCCGAGTTACGAATGACTTTTTACTTGGTGCAATTGACTATGATGAAGGGTGGTAGATCCTGTAACAATACATAATGTACCAATACATCACAAACCAATAAGAAGCAATGAAATTGACCTTGAGGAAGGGTGGTAGATCATATATAACAATGCATACAAAAGAATAAGAAGCTATGAAATTGACCTTGAGGAAGTGATGATGAAGGGGAGTGGTGACGAAGGGAAGTGGTGAGGAAGGGAAGTGGTGAGGAAGGCAAGTGGTGACGAAGGGAAGTGGTGAAGACGAGAAGTGATGATGAAGGGGAGTGGTGACGAAGGGAAGTGGTGAGGAAGGGAAGCGGTGAAGAAGGGAAGTGGTGACGAAGGGAAGCGGTGAAGAAGGGAAGTGATGATGAAGGGGAGTGGTGACGAAGGAAAGTGGTGAGGAAGGGAAGTGGTGACGAAGGGAAGCGGTGAAGAAGGGAAGTGATGATGAAGGGGAGTGGTGACGAAGGGAAGTGGTGAGGAAGGGAAGTGGTGACGAAGGGAAGCGGTGAAGAAGGGAAGTGATGATGAAGGGGAGTGGTGACGAAGGGGACTGCCAACCATTAAGGGGAGTGGTGCCTTATGTTGCAAGGGCTTTGTTTTGGGGAGGAAGCCGGAGCGCGAAACCTTGTGTTTTTCCGTGTAAAGTGGCTGCGGCTGGCGATGAAAGGTACCTCGTCTGTGCGACGGGTGCGGCTGGGGTCGGTTTATCTTTTTTTTTGCCGCAGTGTGACGGTGGCTTCAAGCTGCTTTGGGTGTGCTTGTGTGTGCGTAGTTATAGGGTGTTTTGGAATCTGTGCTTGCAGATCGCATTGGAGTGGCTGCATGATGTTGCAGGGCTTTGTTTTGGGGAGGAAGCCGGAGCACGAAACCTTGTGTTTTTCCGTGTAAAGTGGCTGCAGCCGGCGATGAAAGGTACCTCGTCTGTGCGGCGGGTGCGGCTGCGGTCGGTTGGTCGTTTTTTTTTTGCCGCAGTGTAACGGTGGCTTCAAGCTGCTTTGGGTGTGGTTGTGTGTGCGTAGTTATAGGGTGTTTTGGAATCTGTGCTTGCAGATCGCATTGTAGTGGCTGCGTCAAGGTTGCTTGGTGCAGCGGCTGCATGCGTAATACTATTGTCTTTTGCAGCTGAAGATTGTAAATCGTATTGGAATGGCTGCATCAAGGCTGCGAAAGTGATTTGTCAGCAGATTTTCTCAATTTTGGCGCTAATAATTTTCCTTTTAAAATTCCTTTTAAAAAGTGCTTCAAAATCGTCTTTTTGTCGCTTTGGCGTCGAGATCCAGTTTTGGAGCTGCCTTTCCGATGCCTTGCGCTTAGTTTCTATTGCGTTTTTGCAAGCAGTCTCTGCAGATCGCATTGGAGTGGCTGCGTCAAGGTTGCTTGCCGCCGTGGCTGCATGCGTAATACTATTGTCTGTTGCAGCTGAAGATTGTAAATCGTATTGGAGTGGCTGCATCCAGGCTGCGATAGTCATTTGTCAGCAGATTTTCGCAATTTTGGCGCTAGTAATTTTCCTTTTAAAATTCCTTTTAAAAAGTGCTTCAAAATCGTCTTTTTTCTGCTTTGGCGTCGAGATCCGGTTTTGGAGCTGCAATTCCTGTGTATTATGTCCAGAAAGCTTGCTGTGTGAAAAAGATTTTGTGTAAAAGCTTGCTGTGTGTAAAAGCCTCTCTGTGTGTAAAAGCGTCTCTGTGCAAAAGTTTCTGTGTGTAAACACTTGCCATGTGTAAAAGCAGTGTGTGTAAGTGTTCTGTGTCTAAACGCTTGCTGTGTGTGAAAGCTTCTCTGTGAAGAAGCTTGTTGTGTGTAAAAGCTTCTGTGTGTAAAAGCTTCTCTGCTTGAAAAGCTTGCTGTGTGTAAAAGCTTCTCTGCGAAAGAACTTGATGTGTGTAGTGTTCTGTGTGAAACGCTTGCTGTGTGTGGAAAGCTTCTCTGGAAGAAGCTTGTTTGTGTGTAAAAGCTTCTGTGTGTTAAAGCTTGCTGTGGCAAAGCTTCTTCTCTCTCTGTGTAAAGCTTGTTTTGTGGGCAAAAGCTCCTCTGTTTAAAAAGCTTGCTGGTTGTGTGTAAACGCTTGCCATGTGTAAAAGCACTGTGCGTAAGTGTTCTGTGTGTAAACGCTTGCTGTGTGTGAAAGCTTGCTGTGTGTAAAAGCTTCTCTGTGTAAAAGCTTGTTGTGTGTAAAAGCTTCTCTGTTTAAAAAGTTTGCTGTGTGTGTAAACGCTTGCCATGTGTAAAAGCACTGTGTGTAAGTGTTCTGTGTGTAAACGCTTGCTGTGTGTGAAAGCTTCTCTGTGAAGAAGCTTGTTGTGTGTAAAAGCTTCTGTGTGTGAAAGCTTGCTGTGCAAAGCTTCTCTGTGTAAAAGCCTTCTTCTCTGCGAAGAACTTGATTTGGGTAGAAAGCTTTGTAGTACAAAGTAGGACCGGGAAGTAGTTTGTGCAAGCTTTGTAGTACAAAGTAGTGCTGGGGAGTGCTTTGTGCAAGCTTTGTAGTACAAAGTAGTACTGGGAAGTGTTTTGTGCAAGCTTTGTAGTACAAAGTAGTACTGGGAAGTGGTTTTTGCAAGCTTTTGTAGTAGACATCAGTACTGGGAAGTACTTGACATAAAAAATAGCCAAGAAGAACTTAGCTGACATATGGGAAGACATGGAATAAGATGAGAAGAGCTCAGATGAGATGAGTTGAGATGAAGTGCAAGTGTGAAGTGTGGAGTGTGGGGTGTGAAGAGTGCAATGTGAAGTGTGAGGAAAGTGTTTGCATTGTACCGGGGTTGCGCGCAGGTCATGTTCTTGGACAGCAACACTGCAACAGCTTCGCACAAAGCACGCACGCACGGGCCTGGCTGGCGCACGGCGCATGCAAGTTCCTTAGTAGTAGTACTGGGAAGTGATTCATGAAAGCTTATAGGTGACATATGAGAAGAGATGAGAAGAGATGAGCTGGGATAAGGTGAGAAGAGCTCAGATGAGATGAAGTGTGGAGTGTGAAGAGTGCAGTGTGAAGTGTGGGGCGTGAAGAGTGCAGTGTGAAGTGTGGAGTGTGAAGTGTGAAGTGTGGAGTGTGAAGTGTGAAGTGTGGAGTGTGCAGTGGGAAGCGTGCAGTGAAGTGTGAAGTGTGGATTGGGAAGAGTGCAGTGTGAAGTGAGAAGTGTGGAGTGTGAAGTGTGAAGTGTGAAGTGTGCAGTGTGGAGTGTGAAGAGTGCAGTGAGAAGTGTGAAGGGCGAAGTGGAGCTTCAAATGTGACATGTGAAACAGGACACCACTTTCGCAGAGTGCACGCACGCACGGGCTTGGCTGGCGCACGGCGCATGCAAGTTCTATAGATGAGAAAGGCCTTATATATATCTTTAAGGCAACTTCCGCCCCGCCTCGTGCGGGTACTACTGGTATATTAGTATATAATAGTATATATGTATATATATGGGTACATTATAATATTTCACTAACCTGAATCTTGCGGCCATAAAAGGGTATGATTTCCCGTGAGCCAGGCCTTCTTGGCGGCTTCGCGCAGGTTGGCTTCACTGCTTGGAAGAAGGCCATGACCTGAAGGCTGTTTGATATGCAGTATGTATAATTATCATACATTTATGGATGTGTATACATAATTATACAAATGTGTGTATGATTTACCTAATTCTATGGATATATATATATATATATATACACATTATACATATATATATATGGGCTATGATCTACAGTACCTAATTCTGTGGATTGTGTATGTACATGACGCACATACATGCATATATATAATCACTGTACATGTATCTGGAGTCTAAGTTTATTTGTATTACTGTACATGAAATGCATCTCTTTTACAAAATGCACATATTCATATATGTATATATATATACATTCAAACATGGAAGTATAGGATATGGACAGAACAAAGACTCACTCAATGTGAGCGATAAACAACCAGGTTTCACATAGACAAACAATATGATCCTAAACGACAAACAGGTATGTATATACCCTCTGGTAAACTAATATATATATATAGAACTATTCGTAAATCACCATTTTGAAACATTGACATCATCTATTTCTATGGACCATGGCTTCGAAATAGCTATCTTAGTTTACTGTGGGACAGCTAGACCGGTGGCCATCCCTATCCAGTACTGTCGGACATCCCATAGTCCCATCCATACCAATCCCGTATATATATAGAACTATTCGTAAATCACCATTTTGAAACATTGACATCATCTATTTCTATGGACCATGGCTTCGAAATAGCTATCTTAGTTTACTGTGGGACAGCTAGACCGGTGGCCATCCCTATCCAGTACTGTCGGACATCCCATAGTCCCATCCATACCAATCCCGTCCAAGCAGACCCATAGTTGCACCCAAGGGTGGTTGAACAACAGCTCCACTGTTGGCACAGTGTCCCCCCAGCAAAGCAACCTTCTGCCTGGCGATGGCTGCGTGAAAAACATTTTACAATACAGCCTCCCCAAGCTTCAAATGGTTTTAAAAATTTTACACGCCCCATTTCTGGTGAAATTTGGGATGGTTTTCTGTGTTCTCTTGGGTTTGCCACTGGGTGCCACTGGTACATTGCCACTTGCTCAAGATTCGATTTCTACGCTGAGATCCAACACACTTTTGGAATCTTTTGGATTGATTGGTGAGTCACGGGCATTCTGGTGCAGATTCAAAAATGATCGCGACCTGACATCATGTTTGGTTTTACAAAAGTCTGGGGTGGTTTCAGATCGAAAAATTGTCAATGGATTGGTTTAAGGGAAAATTTACAGGAAACCATAGATTTTCCCATTAAATATGGGGCTTTCCTGTAAAATTTCCCTTAATCCAATCCATTGAAATTGCGGATTCTGGCAGTCCAACCGGGTTTTTCTATCTATTTCCGGCTCTGAGCTCAACTCTCATGGCCTTCCCCCTGCCTCGGATTTCGCGGTTGTGAACGCAAGGCACCCAGAACACAACCAGAGTTGGTACCTGGAAGACAACACGACTGGGGAGGTTCTTCAATTTTGGCAACCCCCAAAAGGATTGACAAGCAACACCCTACTGAAATAGCGGTGATATGATGTGTTTTTCTACTTTTTTGGGGGGTTGCTAAAAGAATGAAGTGTGGTCTATGAAGTCCCAATTGATAAAGCACCAACATGTCCTATTGGTTTATTGCTTTATTGTGGAAAAGAAAGAACTTTGGTAAGACATTTTGTTTCTCAACCTTGCAATTGGATTCACCGTAGGAACAATGCATCATAAAATCAAAAAACAAATATAAACAAACAACATATATGTATATATTCCATAGTAAACCATGGGATGAAATCATGGATATCTTCATCTCCAATCTCCGCCAATCTTTGCGGGTCGTCACCAGCGCGATCCGAACGCCGAGGCAAAACCTGGACGTAGGGAGCTCCCAGCGGGATTTGTGTCAAACGTCCGGCTGGATGTAAAGAAAACATTGGTGCCTGTTTAAGTTGCTAAAATATGGAGGTTTCCTTAAAAACAAATGGCCAGTTATCATCCAGTCGTCATGGATGAGCAGTTTACTTAGTCTTGAAAGCTATGGTGACTTGGGGATCCCCCATTTGAAGAAACCTCCAAATGTATGCCCAACAAAAACATGAAGCTCGTATTTGTCAAATGGTGATGTGTCGACGCTCTTCCACATTCAGGTCTGCTTCACCCAAAGCCACACCAAAACCACAAAACCGATGGTTATGCCATGTTATGCAAAAAAGATCCAAAAGGAACATCAAGTTTTAAGGAATCTAAAGTTCCCAAGTTCCCATTTCCCCGAAACCAGTCTTCGTTGTTTGGGGAAGTGAAATGTTCAGCCATGAACCATGTTGAATCTGTGCTCCGCTGAGATCCAAACTGAGTCCTTTTGTGATGGGGGTGCTAACAGTCCTGCGAAAGCGCTCCATCAGTTGTTGGTTCATTTGGGAAGCTTGGGATATGGGAGCTATGTTATGCTATGTTGTTTGCATAAATCTATCAGGGAAACAACAACAACAACAACACCAACACCAACACTAGATGAATTCTACAGTACATGCTAAAAGTTGAATATATAAATGTAAACTAATCATTACATGAACAACACAATTCATAAACCGATACATAGTTTGTTCATGTAGTAAGGATAGCTCTTCCGACTCCATCATGGCGGTCCTTGAACTTTGGAATAGGTAACGCCAGTCCTTCCTGGTCAGCTGCCGCCCGTTCGAGTGCTTGTGATTAGAAGAAAACAGAGCTGTCACACACTGGCCCTCAGAGGGAAAGTACATCAATGTGGCACACAAAATGCAATGAATCGAATTTTTTGGGTCTTTGGGCAACCAGCAAAAATGGTGGGTTCCACACATTCGCCTTGGTCCAAGAGTTCAAACGCCTCGGCTTCGACACGTCAGCCATTGATTCATGGGAAGCAGAATCAAAACATTCAGGAAACATTGTAGTAAACCCCTGGGAAATCACTGTTCTATCTCTTTGGGGGTTGCGATATCTTCAAATCTGTAGTGACTCCAGTTGTCATGTTTAAAATATATTCAAATATTCCTGGAGGCAACATGATCCAACCTATCAAAAATGAAAACAGTGACACGTTTCTTTCAAACAAATGTGGTGCTGGAGCGAAGTGATCCCAGAATCGACAGCTATTGATCCAACGTCCAAGTTTTTGGTTTGCACATCTATGTTTTCAAATTGGACATAATTTGTTGTTGTTGGCTTCTCCATCTGGTTGCAGTTCAATAATTAGTTACAACCTAGCTATTCCTAGGATGTGTTGGTCTAATCGGCCTAACCCCAAATGCTTTGATTGTCAATACATAAATTCTAGTGTCTACAAATGTAACCTTTCTTGTCAGTGGCTCAGGCCTGAGTTTTCACGTACCAGGCCCAAAGCAGTGCTGGTGAGTTGTATCAATTATATTCCCATTGCAGTGATGAGCTGTAAAGTTCCATTTAGTTTTCGCGGGATTTTCAATGTAAATCATGTTACAGTAAATCTCCACTTCCCGAGGGTTGAACCATGGTTAGATCCCCATTTCCACGTCCCAAATATATATATATATATGGCAAATGCCTGGGCGTTGCCCCAAACCGCAACGACGACAGGCAACGCATCATCATCATGATCATCATCATGATCATCATCATCATCATTGTTGATCTTCCCAATTCAATGTAGAGTTTAACGGGGGGGTGGGATTCTAGTATTCCCTAATACCTTTGTTGATCTTCCCAATTAAATGTAAAGTTGCAACAACATTTGATTGGGAATGGGAACCCTCTACGCTGCAACGCTGGGGAAAAGCCCAGGCGTTGCACGGGCACGTGTATGTATGTATATATATGGTCTTGTATGGTCTTAAATGGTCTTACATGGTAAATCCCGATCAATTCCGCATTTAACTCCCATTTTTAATAAATGATATATGAAGATATATGTACATATATTATACTGCCCATACTGCAATTCATCCAGATCCCTGACTTATTATATGGGGGTTTCCTAAAATAGGGGTATCCCCAAATCATCAATGTTAATAGGATTTTCCATTATAAAACTAACCATTTTGGGGCTCCCCATTTATGGAAATGCCCATCTGGTTGGTGGTTTCAACCCGTGTGAAAAATATGAAAGCCAGTTAGGAGTATTATTCCCAATATATGGAGAGTCATAAAATTCCATGGTTCCAAACCACCAACCAGATCATCATCATATTCCCATTGTTCTTGGTATTATACCCTATTAACCACTATTAATATCACTATTTTCCAGGTTAATTATTAATATCACTATTAATATCACTATTACCATATGATTAAGTATGTGATAAAAAAAACAGGAAAAGTATATCCTGATGGTTTTATTCCATGGTGGTAATAGTGATATTAATAGTGATATTAACACCATGGGAGTTTTTAACATCACTATTACTATTATTAATATGATTAAGTATGGTTAAAAACTCCCATGTCCACCAGGGACCCACCAGGGACCCACCCAGCCATTCTGTTCCCATCGAGGTGCCGTGTTCAGCGCTGAGGCCGGTGTGCCGAGGATGGCATGGGCGCTGGCGGGCCGTGAGGGAAGACCTGAAGCGATCAACACGAAGAGATGGGGCCCATGATTTGATCTTGACTAGTAATGGTTAGTTAATCATGATTAGTAATGATTAGTAATGATTAATATTGGTTAATATGGGTTAATCATGATGGTCAATAATGGTTGATAATGGTTAGTTAATCATGATTACTGGTTGGTGGTGCAATAACCATCTTGAAAAATATGAAAGTCAATGGGAAGGGTTATCCCATATATGATGGAAAATGAAAAATGTTCCAAACCACAAACCAGATTAGTAATGATTAGTAATGATTCGTAATGACTAGTAATGACTAGAAATTGTTATATAGTAATGGTTAATATTGATTAATATTGGTGAATCATGAGGGTCAATAATGGTTGATAATGAACGTTAACGGTATTAATGGCGAGTAATTGATCAATATTGATGATGAATGAACACAAAAACGATCTATAACAATCTATAACAGTCTATATATCATTGATGGTTGACAACGAGTCAAAATGATGGCTAGTAGTCTGACCGGCGAAGAATGTGGATCACTATGTCTTTTTTTGTTAGTCGTCCCATCACTGCTGCCATTCGTTTATGGCTAGCTTTGGGTGAGGGGTGTGTGTCCGAAAATGGGCTATACCCCAAAATAGTTCCCTGGTTGGTGGTTGAGCCCTACCCCTCTGAAAAATGATGGAGTTCGTCAGTTGGGATGATGAAAGATGATTATTCCATTCCCAACTGAATGGAAAGTCATAAAATTCCATGGTTCCAAACCACCAACCAGTTCTTCTATGGTGTTTTTCTTTCTTGTAAATCCATATGTTCCCTTCGAAGGGATTATAGATGGTTCAGAATACTTTGCATACCATTGGAGATAGCGACGTAGTTGGCCAATATATGCTAATGTGGCTGTGAGTCAAAACCCCAGTACCCTGGTGAACCCTATATTGTAGCTGGTAAATGGATGAGTGCATCCCCTCAAATGCAGTAATAAGAGGTTTTGACCCATCACCATATAGATATAAGTGCATAATATATAGAATATATATAATATAATATATATAATATATATTAAATAAAAAATTATATAAAAAATAAAATATATAATATATACACTGTATAAAATACAATATATAATCAATATATAATATATGATAATATATAATAATATAATATAAAATACAATAATATATAATATATAATATATAATAATATAATATAATATAATATAATATAATATAACATAATATAATATAATATAATTGAATATAATTGAATATAATATAATATAATATAGCATAATAAAATAAAATATAATATAATATAATATAATATAATGTAATATATACGTATATATAAATAGCTTATTTTCCCTCCATCATTTCCAGGCCAACAAAGCTCTGCATCTCTCAGGCTGCCACGAGACCGCCAATCCTGGGCGCCGTTCCAACGATGATCAATTCCCTATAGGTTACATATGGTTACAGTACTATTATGGGAACCATAATGGTAATGCCCTAGGTACATTATAATGGTTATGTAGAAAGTAACCAGAATTGTGGTCACCATAATAAACTGGTTACCATACAGATAGTTGGGGTTTGTTAGGTGCATTATGCAAAATATAAAGAGTTTTTTTTAAGATAATGTTATGTGATGTTATGTGATTCTGAAATTCTCAAGCATATGCTGGTAATGACCTGGTAATAGCATCTTACACATCTCGTTGGCAAAGGAATGTTTAATGTACGGTATTGCCAGCATGTTAGCTCCAAAAAATGGGGATCAAACACTCAGCATCACTGCACGCCATTTGGACAAACTACAAGTTGGCCATGATTATTTGATAAAATGCTAGGTGTAAGTATGACAGTTCTTCATTATAAATGTATTATACAAACTATTTCGTATTCACTTGATGACCTTTGTCCGTGTAAATGACCTGCAGTACGGAAAACAATCGCACAAACACATCGCATAATATACACATATCGTATAGCCTACATTATCATGAATCATCAATCCTCCCTATGAAAGGTATTATGTGTCTTTCCTCTGCGAGTCACAGTTCATATTGTTTGTAGGAGTTTTGAATCCCATCAGCCAATTCTTGATTTGAAGGAACAATCATCTGAAACCGCTATTAGTGAGTTGTATCTATTTTGAGATGTAAATAAGATCGTCCCCCACCGTCTCTTTGATGGTCAAAAAAAAGTTTGTCCCGAAAAAACACTGGGATAATACCCCCTAATCCCATGATCATCATGTTCCCCATGGCTGCATCCACTGGGGGATCTCCCGTCAAAGCCATGTGAAAGACCAAGATGATCTCCAAATCTCCGATGATATTCCAATCATCTTCTCATCAACAGGTCAAGCCCCCAAGGTCAGTATGACCCATTTTCAGAAATCTCCTAAAATAATGGTACCCCCAAATCATCTGGGTAATTATCATAATTCACTACTCTGAAATTTTGGGCTATTTTGGGATGATTCCCCTTAGTAACCTTTAATCAATTTTTATCATCACTACCCTTTTAAGGGGGGGGCGTACCCAAATTGCCAGACACAATTTAGACGTTTTTGAGGGAGGGGGGCCTGGTAAATGTCAGCAGGCATTTATTTTTCTAACTGCGTTCTATTTGCAAGATTTCATTTTAGTAGGTCCCCTCACTCTTTACGGGATTTCATTTATTTTCCTACAAAACGCAGGGGGTCGTTCAAAATGTCCGATTGCATTTTTGAAAAAAATGCAAGAAAATGAACAACAAATGTAAAATTGTAGCGTGAAGGTCTGGAAATATCTGCAGAATTGCAGAAAATCAAAAATGCAAACTGAAAGTTTGTAGGACCCCAATTGCTTGGTATTTCCAATACATTCTACACTTTTTCTGCACCTTTTTTATCATTTCCACATGTAACATAGAGGTATAGAAGGTATATTATTCCTTGCAAATTACTGGAAAATCCTTGAAACTTCGAATAAATGTAAAATTAGATGTTGAAGGTCTTCACATTTAACTCCTACCTATGGAAAAACAATAGAATACAAATAAAGATCTCAAATGGAGCTCAAAAGGACCTCAAATGAACCTTTATGGGGTCCCCATGATAAACCCCCTTTATGTATCTACATGATCGAACTTAAACACCCTTCTGCCACAGTTCCTATCTAGCCCCCTTACGACCCTCCAACCATAATATCATAACAATCTACACATGTGTCATGTTGATTCTGAAAGGAACTGTGGAAACTGAGGTGTAGGATGGTTACATTTTTCTATCTTAGCTTTACCTTCTTTTTTGAGCACTTTCTGCAAGGAACTATTGACCTTATGTATAGGATGTTTTTTTAATCTTATAGTTACCTTCTGTTTAAGCACTTTCTGCAAGGAATTATAGGCCTCAGGTGTAGTAGGGTTAACATTTGTCTATCTCATTTTTACCTTCTTTTAAAGCAATTTCTGCAAGGAATTAAGGACCTGAAGTGTAGGATGGTTACTTTTTTTAATCTCATCTTTACCTTCTTTTTTAAGCACTTTCTGGCAGGAATTACAGGCCTCAGGTGTAGGATGGTTACATTTTTCTATCTTAGTTTTACTTTCCTTTTCGAACACTTTCTGCAAGGAACTATGGACCTCAAACATAGGTTGATTACATCCCCACAAAGACACCTCACAAACAGTTTACAAACTGCTTGCGGACATTTAAAAATTTTTACCTTCCCCCCCTCCTATCCGTAGAGTACGGGGGGGGGAGGTTCGGAGGGGGGTACGGGGTGACGTATCTCTTTCGGACTTTCAACCCCCCCTAAATATAAATCTTCCGGGGCACGGTTTTTTGACGTAGGAGGGGTCTAACATACATATAGCCTTCCCCATCGGGAAAAAATACGAAGGGGTCAAAATTGTTGCTTACATTTTTTGAACGTCCCCCATGCTTACACCCGAAAAAGGTGGTGATTTTTTTAAATCTATTTTTGGAAATTTTCAGATGACATAAACTATCCAGCAATTCCTTGGATCCCGCCCCATGACTATGGGTCCCGCCAGCCTTTCGGCACAGCGGGATGGATCAAACGCCAAGGTTCCGGTGCTTCCTCCCTGCGATACGAGTGAGGAGCGTCAACGATGAGGTCCTGCCAGCAGCCAGTGTTGGATTCTGTAGAAAAACATGGAGAAATATGAAGAAACAATGAGAAACAGAAGGCTTCAAGATGGTTCAGGAAGTGGTATTTCATCTTCGGAAGGATTCAATATGGTTTAATATCTTCCATGTTTGCTGCGGAAACTCCTTGTTTCGTTGTGACGATCCAATTGCCTATACTTATTGCTTCTTCTATGGGGCGTTCATCCCAAAGGGTCCCCCAATTAACCAGCGAACCAATTGGAAAAGGACATCTATGACCGGCATCATAATTTGTTCTTGCAGATCTGCAGCTATAGTCATTCAATACAATAACTCATCAGAAACTCCCAGGTCCGACTTCCCAATTGAAAACTGACGTGGAACCACCAAGAATAATTGGCTTTGGGCTCCAGGAGGCTCCAGTGGGAAATTCTCAGTGATGAATAGAAAGAACACAAACACTACAGGTCGGTGGTCTAAACATGTTAAAACCTGTCTCAAAAATAGGAGGCACCTCGACCAATCATTTCAAGTCTGCCAAGTCTGTTTCAAAAACAATACGTATTTGAGACCCCCAAGCAGACGACCATCAATCCACCCAACCCAACCTTAGCCTCGCTGTCAAAACCCAAACCTGCCACCAGGAACATTTCAGGCACCATTTGTGGGACAAGAATCCATCTGGAAGCGATGACTCGTAGTGAAAAAAAAGGAACCAATGGATATACTATATCTCTATCCATCCATATCTATACAGTGGGATGCTGGTATGAGGTGACGTATGCAAGCAATGATGGATATCATTGGGTATCAATAATCAAGAGTATTGACAAGAGGTTCCTTTTGGCTAAAGAAGCCCCTAGTTATGCACAGTCTTCACCAATTGTAGCATCGGTGTAGGGTTCCTCGACCTTAAGATGGTACTTCACTGGACATCACATCCCAGTGGCCCATCTTGCCAGCGTTTTGTTTCTGGACCTCGGCTGAGGTCCAAACTTGACTCCAACTCGGGGATATCCAGTTCCAACTCCCTGGACGCTATCGGTATCTCCTGGGCTTTGGAAAATGCTGGTTGGATCAACTGGGGACCCAAGATCTAGGCGAAGCAGCCCCAAAAATCAACAACAAATCCCGCCGACCGGCACGAGGTCGCAGCTTTCACAGTTGCTCGCCATGATTTTGCCGACAATTTCTGCAAATATTTTCTCATATTTTCTCTATCACAATGCTTCGGTGTGTAAAACCAGTGGCCTGCAAGATCTATAGTGATCGAAGGTGTCGCTTTCCCGATCCCACTCCTTGTAAGAAGCAGTAGGATTAGGGAAGCTTGGCTATAGAGGAAAAATATGGGTCTTCAAAAATGGAAATTGTCATATATTCATTTAAATTCTCCAACAGCTAGGGTAGCCATGGGTACCCCCTCCCTCCAATGGTTTGAAACCTGCTTCCCTCTGCCATTGATCCAACTGCTCCTGTGGAGCGAAGCCCTTGTAGACCTTCCAAGCCTAGGCTCGAGATGAGCCATGGATCTAGAACTGACCCAACTTGGTGATACTTTGCTAGCATGGCCCAGTTCTAGAGTTCTAGATGATTTACCATGATTTACCATGCTTTTTAGCTAGTGAAAGGTGAACATAGATCAACATCTCTCAACATGTGGTGTTTTTCCATCGCTACCAGAGGCTAACTCACGATGGCACTGCGCCCTCAGAGATCGACAGGGTGCGCCGGGTCATATGGCACTTTTGGCCCAGCCTTTTTCCTGTAGGGAGCCACCATTGTTTGGGCAGTTTTCCCAGAGATTTATCATGGATCAATGATTAGGGATTAATGATGGATGGTAGATTTATGATTGAATCATTATTATTATATCAATGGCCATTTCAGGTACCTAAATAGGAGGTACCTACCATTGGTACAGTACCTCCATTTTAGGATCCTGAAATTCCCATTGATTATATATGATTATATATGTGGATAAATCTAATATGCTTGATTCAGAATGTCACAATCCAACTTTCAAGGGTCTTAGCCGGCTTGATGCTGAGGTCTCAAGATGCTGCATCCCAAATCAAGCCCTGAAATGATGCCGTTGTCGATCCCAAAACTTGAGTTTGACGCCTATAGGATTACTTCTTTATCAGTGACCTGCTGAATCTATAGCTATACGGGCTATATTATGGCTATCAGTCAAAATCCTGGCACCCGGATGGTACCCTAGAATAGCTGGTTAATGGATGTGTGTTCCCAAAATATGGTAAGAATAGGTTTTGACCCATCCCCACATTTTAAACCAACGCTGGGAGACTTTGGGAGGAAAGTGACAGTCAAGTCCGGGACCTGCCTTCCTTGGCACTCGAGCACCTCAGTCGCTTGATGCAGCTCGGTGCAGTATCATTTACCTTCGTCACAAGGAAAGTACGCAAGAATCAACAATCAACATCTGTTTACTGTTATCATTTGGAACATTTAACCACCAGTTTTTGGAAATTTCTGCTCTAGTTCAACCCAAGTCATGACAACTATGCCTCCTTTGAGCATGGCTTTGGAAGGGCAGTCTGAAGCTCTGAAACCAGCAAGGCACGACACCAGGTTGAACTCGCATGGTTTGCAAGGGACTCGGTTGAATACACTCCGACCTGCACGCACCAAGATGGATGATCCCTGGTAGATCTCCAAAGTTCTTCGGCTTCCCTTTTGCTGAGAATAGGTGATCCAACATGGGCACTCTCTGGTAACGTACCATGGCAATGAACAACTCGCATGTGGAAGGTAGCAACATCATCGAATTAGTGAAGTTTCACCGCTGCGATTTTGCCAGGGGGTATCTAATTCCAAAACTGTGGTATGTGTTACCGTTTTTCTGGAAAATGAGCTATCCCGTAAGAAAGGGCAAAGTTCAGTTGGAATACAAACCAAAGATCTTCGTTTCATGCCGTATCAGAGGGATAACCTATGAATCAACCAAAGCAAGGGTTACCCTCCGGTAATCAAGTCATCAAACATGGCTCGAAAATCCCGCATAAACCTCCATCCATATTCCAGCTAGCCCTGTTTGATTGCCCCATCAAATCCCAACAATATCCCATCATATAAATCCGATCAAATCCCATTAAATCAAACTAAGTCACTAAGTCCCATCAAACCACTATCAAATCACCAAGAAATCCCTATCAAAGCCGATTTGTTGATGGTTAAACGCACCATTTCCAGCCAGCCATGTTTGATTTTTCACCGAAGCCCAGCCGTTGGTCCAGGCCTAATAAAACCGTCACTTCGAAGCCCCTTTTCACCTCTAGGCACTGAAACCGCTGAAGCCTCAGTCCTCGGCGAAGTCGTTGACGTTCTCCGGGATGGGTAGATAAGAAACATCCGATTTGTTTTTTTTAATCACCTATGATGCCTCTATGATTACATGGTATTTACATATGTATTTACTATGCCATATAACCACATAACCATATATCATATACATTTATGTTATGGATTTCCTTACCCCAGAATCAGGTTGACGAGCTGATGATCAAACATGAGGTATCTCACGGGTGTCACGGTGGCCCCAAACCCACTGCTTCATCATCATTGCACCATATATGTTCTTGAAACCAACAAAAAAACTTTATAGAACCCCCCAAAAAAGCTAGAAAAAATCATTCCCACTAGGGAGTCACTAGTGATCAATTGAAACGTTTCTATCTTTTTTGGGGGATACCGGGATGACTGATGACTGTAATCATGGGTGCACTCTGTGCCCTGTACGCATGGGAGTCTGCCTTGGAGATGTCCTGGCGTCCCAGATGCTGGAAACACGGCTGGTCCAGCTTTCATTCTGAGTGGTCAGAGTTGGGAAAAACCAAAAATTGATCGGATTAGAACCCATAGGATCCATGGTGCTGCTATATATGGTAACATGGATCCCATCAATATACCCCAAATGTTAGCATATATACCATACATGGATTCTATGGGGAATACTTTGAATGAAAACTAAGTGTGCTCCTCGGAGTTTTATATCTTGACCCATATCCATAAACATGGCCAGCCTTGTATGTCCTTCACCGTTTTGTTTTGCTGGCGCATAAATACGGTAATCTGGGGAAAACAATATAACCCAACCCAAAATATTGATTTGACTTATTAATCATTACCCAATCATCGACAATCATTAGCCACTAATTACCCAGCACTGGACCAACCAAAGCCATTCATTGTTTGGCAGCATACAAGTTTGACCAATTCACAGACAGGGAATCATCATTGATGTCATCGCACATAGCAAGCAATTGCACCAAAATCCCTTCCCCCCAGTCTTTAAACCCTAACCTAAAACCCTGGTTTGGCATTGGATGTATCAATCTTGGAGTACCAACTATGAGAAGTATTTGATATGATTGGGGGATGGGATTGCATTGTCGTCGCTATTGTCACTGTTTAAGCTTTGGTATTGATTTCTGCTTATACCCCCTATGTTGTATACACCCCTACTTTTAAATGCTATACCATATTAAAGCCCCTAATTTTGCAAAAAAAATATGATCCCCTACTTTTCATGGTTAAATCCCCTACTTTTCATGGTTAAACCAGCTTAAAACCCCTAAACAAATCACAGATGTTCACCGTTCAATCACCGTTCGTCTCATCGATGTAAAAAACCCGACCTGAACAGAGATGCCACTGCTCTTCGCAGCCTCATGGATAAGGCTTCCCCTCCATGGGATCCATAAATAATATAAATAGATATGCTAATATAGAAATTATTGGGATAGTGGTTATTCCATATTATTCCATATTATTGGGATATCTGCATTTGGGATAGGAATACTATGGAATAATTACTATAGGTATCGGAAAAAACACGTCTCAAAATGTCTCAAATGTTGATGTTTCAACTTCGGAACCACCCCCAAATTTTCCAAAAATCAAGGGAGTATTGAGCAGGAAGTCTTGAAAACCTTCCTAAGCCAGTTCTTTTTTCACCTAACATCGGTGCAATTACAATTCATATATGGGAATGTCCTAAAATGGTGGTACCCCTAGTTATCAGCCATTTTATTTTCGGCTGTTCCATTATAAACCATCCAGCTATTGGGGTACCCCCATTTAAGGACACCCCCATATCCACATCAACAAAGCCGCATGAAGGCTTCACCCTGCACCTCCGTCACATCGCGTGGAGTCACCTAGCGACAACATCGTGACGTGCTCACTGCAAGGAATCCGGGATGGAGCCTCTTAGAATGTCCAGCCCCAGAGGGTCAAAAATCCCATGGCGTTCACTCCTGCCTTGCAGCTCTTTACATCAAATTGAATGGAGGCGTTCATCTTTAGAAGCCTCCGGCCAAGGATGCTCAGCTTGGGCGCTTCACGGTGACAAGAAAGAATGGGCATCTGGTGCCAAAACTCCATCTTTTGATGGTCAGAATCTGAGTGATAATTTGGAGGAGAAAGTCATGGGAAGTGCTCAGAAACCACTTTCTGGCGACGCTTCGCCATGCTGCGCCTCTCCATTTCATCAGGCGGAATGGCATTCTCTGGAGCATGTCCAAGGCCCTCCGAGTTGCCAAGCTCTCCGATTTCTCTTTTAAACACCTGGCTGGCGCAAAAATTGGAGGAAATAGGAGGAACCAAAAAAAACATTTTGGATCCACTTAGATTGCTGCTTATTTTCATAACTATCTAAGATGATCTAAGTGTTCAAACAATCAAAAATTTGCTGGGCAAATCAGTCAAAGAGGTCATCGTCCAAAGCCTTCATCTCTTGTTGCCTCCTTTGCTCTTCACGTCTCAACTCCTCCAGAACAGCAATGGATGAGCCTTGATTGGAAATGGGATGAAACCATATGAAACCTACCCTTGCAAGATTTTGCTAGTATAACTATTAGTTTTTCTGGTACACTCTAGATTTAGAACACGTGGCCCACTTGGCACATTTGGAGTTGGCAGGATTCATCCCGGAACGATGCCGATGCTCGGATTAGTGAAAATGCCCAACAAACCTCAACAAAACACAGTTCAAACCATGGATTTGGAAGAGTTCAAAACACAGATTCCCCTGTTGGACATGACAAATGCTTGGGGTATCCAGCTACGAAAATTCCAGGTCGTAAGTAAGTGACATGCAAGTGAGCAAAGAAAGTGGGTTCGCAAACAAAACACATGGGAAAATCATCATGACAAAAATTAGGGTACACGATACACAATGATACACATATGATTCTAGGTCACACCCCATTGTCACTGTTGGCATTCCCTAACTTTTGTGGTTTGTATTGGCGCGCAAAATGCCTGCTATGAATATGTCATGCAATTTCTGTTGTTTGAATCCTCTGCCAACTCCATCATTTGCTGGTGAAGTGGTGAACTCAAGATTATTGCTGTTGATCCCTTGTTTCTGCATGTTTTTGCAACATTCCCAATTTCCATTAGTGTTTGCATTTTTTCTTTCTGCTGAAATTACGAGTGGGGCGGTGATTTGCACAATATGGTGGTGATATTCGGGTGATATTCGGATTCTTGGTGGCTAGCCAGGTTTAATCCACGATCTTACCTGGTTGGTGGTATACCTACCTCTCTGAAAAATATGAGTTCGTCAGTTGGGATGATTATCCCATTCCCAGCTGAATGGAACGTCGTAAAATTCCATGGTTCCAAACCACCAACCAGTTATGATTGCTATCTTCCTTCTTCCGCCCGTTTAATCCGTGATCTCATCACTAGTTCGTTCATCCCAAGTCTGACGACTCTTCACTATGGTCAAATGTAGGTCACCGGTAACCATCCAGCCACAAAAATCCAGAAATCCATATGTAAACCCCAAAAAGTGATAAAAAGTGGATACCCTCAAGATCAAACAAACCCCCTTGTCCGACAAATTAGAGCCCCAAATCTGGGTTCTAGAATGGTGTTCCTTTAAAAAACCCAAGGTTTTCACATCCCTCAACGGAGAGCAAATTAGAACCCCAAAGTCTACGGATGGTAGGGTTCTAGAATCATGTTCCTGCAAACCATAAAAAATCATGGAACATTGGCGCGTTTTTTTTTTGGGATCCTCCTTGTTATTATCTGAGGAAAAATTTGGCATTTCATTTGCACACAGGTTTTGTCCTCCCGAACGCATTGCGCGGTTCAGGTCATCAAAACGTTTTGGATTATTCTGTTTTGAAGGATTTTTTTGAGGCTGCGTCAGGCCCACCCTCTCCGGAAAATATAAGCAGCACCTTTTTTTAAAGCAACGTCGGGATGGATGCAAAAATCGATTGCAACCTTTTGACCCACTTTCCCCCCACAAAGAATGCGTCGTCCAGTCATCTTTTGAAATCGCCTTCCTTTTAAAACATATCTTACCGCATTACAGTCTGGCAAGACTGTCGCAATGAAGGAAAGATTGCCTTGCCCATGACCAGTCTCAAAACTTCCTGGGCCATCAGTCTCTCCCCCTTCTTTGTTCTCCGAAAGTTCTCTATCAAATGTGTTGCAGACGGATGTGGAATGCAGAAGCGATGTGACAAAATAGCTGAGTTTGGGTTACAGCTGGCCATCAGTCAGCACCTGTGGGTCTAGAATGGTTGCCTTCATGCTCCACAAACATTTTGACACGCACTGACCTGGGGAAGATGATTATAGACCCGCGTCCTTCGTTCCAAACGGTGTGGTTGAACCAAAAGTGTTGGTACCCAAAGAATGCGCAGAAGGATGCAGAATGTAGAAGGGATGTCAAAGGATGGCTAAGCGGCTAAGTTGGCTTATAGCTGGCCATCAGTCAGCACCTGGGGTTCTAGAATGGTTGCCTTCGAGCTCCAAAAAAAATTGACACGTATTGACCTGGGGAAGATGATTATAGACCCGCGTCCTTCTTTCCAAACGGTTTGGTTGAACCAAAAGTGTTGGTATCTAAAGAATGCACAGAAGGATGTAGAATGTAGAAGGGATGTCAAAGGATGGCTAAGCGGCTAAGTTGGCTTATAGCTGGCCATCAGTCAGCACCTGGGGTTCTAGAGTGGTTGCCTTTGGGCTTAAAAAGCACTTGACACGCACTGACCTGGGGAAGATGATTATAGACCCGCGTCCTTCTTTCCAAACGGTTTGGTTGAACCAAAAGTGTTGGTATCTGAAGAATGCGCAGAAGGATGTAGAATGTAGAAGGGATATCAAAGGATGGCTAAGCGGCTAAGTTGAATTATAGCTGGTCATCAGTCAGCACCTGGGGTTCTAGAATGGTTGCCTTTGGGCTTAAAAAGCGCTTGGCACGCACTGACCTGTGGAAGATGACGATAGACCCGCGTCCTTTTTTTCCAACCGGCTTGGTTGTACCAAAGAGTTGGTATCTAAAGGATGGAGGTGTTGGGTGGAAACAAGGGTGCGCATCACTGCAGGTTGCTCATCACAACTTGACCTGGCATTTGTGCTTTCCAAACAAAATTGGCATTGTGTGGGAGGTTGGAGGTAATGGTGAGGCTCGCGTTTTTTAATTGAGGACGTTGCCGGATATAATTCAATACGTTGTTTATCGTTGCACATTGCTGCAGCTGCTCAGCACCGTTTTACCTCTTTTTTTTCAGAAGTTTCAAACCAAGCGACATTGAAACCACCTGGTTTTGAAAATGGAAATCTTGATCGACCAAAACCAGGGATGCTAATTCCAAACATGTTTTGCACCTTCGTGCACAGACCTCATCACGACTTGGTTCCTTTTTCTGCATTCCAAAACAATGACCTTTTCTTGTGGTCTGTTGGAATCAATTCATACCGCAACAAGGCTCATATATCCAAACTTTCAGGGTTCTAATTTGATAGCCTTTCAGGGTTCTAAAATCATAGTGGTGATGATTTTAGAACCTTCAACAGGAACCCCGGGGGGGATTCTAGACACCTCGATCTTGAGGGTATAAAAGTGGGATATGTAAGTTCCATGAAAACAACCACCAAAGTCATCTGATTACATGTCCTATCGTATCCCCACTATAATACCAAGCATATGATGATTTTTTATGATTTACAATTCCAAATATGACTAACTAAACTACCATGTGGTTGGGAAACTCTATTTGTAGCTCCAACCATAGCTCAACTCGCCGCCAGAACTTGTCGGACCAACTATATCCAACATATAGATGATCATTTACTATGATTTACTATTCCAAAATTGACTACTTTACACTAATTTAGTAACTAACCTTCCTTTGGAATAGTTTACAGTTTACTCTTCTTCCACTTGTTACATGTCCTATCCCAACTATATTCTCCAAAAACTAGTATCTAGTTTTCATGTGTTTACATGTTACATTTATTCCGATCATTGCGAAAATTGGATCCTAACATGGAGCCCGGCTCATCCAAGTCAGCTGCTCCTCTTCCTCCCAGCGGCTGATGGCCTCCGCCTGGGCCAACCTGGCGCGTGGAAAATGGCAGCTTTGATCTGGAAGAATGAGTTCTGCTGGGCAAAATGAGGCAAAATGTCTTGGAATTTTCGGGAGTTTTGAAGAATTCTGCTTTTTTCATCATGGGAATTTTCGTCCAGCTTGAGTTCGACTCATCTCTGTCCCGTTTCGCCATGAGGAGTGGAGCAGCCCATTGGAGAACTAACCAACCAGGATGGTGTATAACTCACCAACCACGGTTGGATTTCACCTGCAACAAACCGGATTTTTTTCACGAAGTTCACCATTGAGATTTATACAGATTTATACTGGATATGAAGCTCAGCCTCAAACATTGGGTTTCATCAGGCTCAACGACTGGATCTGGCTTCGCATCACATTCATAATATGGGTCATGGATCAAAACCCAAGAGTAGCTGGTAAATGGATGTTCATCCCCCTATAAATGGTATTCATAGGTGTTGATGCAAAGCCATATGGGTCATAGTCAGATCTTTAATTCCCACGCTTTCTCCAGCAGCGTATCTGGTCCAATGCTACACAGCTCGCCTTTGTGCATATCGCTGCAGCCACTCATGACCTTGAAAGCTCCCGCTTCCAAGGCTTCCAAGGCTGTATATATAGTAGTTGGATATAGTTGGTCATTTCATGCATTTCATAGAATCGTCGATTAGATTCGATAAGGACATATGAGGACATTTTTGTTGGGTCATGTTGGGTCATCTTTCCATATGGGAATCTGCGTCATTCTTTCCAAGGTAGTCACCCCGATGCCTTGCCAAGGTTCAGCTCGGTTCTAAGATCCAAACGCAGGGGGTCATCAGGGTCCCGGTCGTCAACCTCAGAAGGTTGCAGCCCTTGAGGAGCGGTTACAGGAGCGATTCCATAGCTGTTGGACCTGGGACTCTGTTTCAATTGTTTTCCGACCTCATTTTCACAGGCTTTCACCATAAAGTGGGCAACCCCCCAATATTGACCGCCATGATACGCCTTTACACCACTGAGCCTTTTGCCGGGGTGTCGGAGAGTGGGAGGACTCGCGTTCTGTGAAGCAACCTATAGTGAAGCGACAACAGTACCGGGAACCCCATGACTTCAACCCCGTTTTGACCTCAACTATCCTCCGGTGTCAGAGTGATCAAGGCATTGAGTAGTAAGATGCCTGAAAATGCCAAAAATCACTTTGCTTTGTCTGTAAATGGGGAAATACCCACAGCCATCCTTTTGAGAACGTGATGATAAACCAGGATAAATCTGATTTTCCGGTCCGGTTTTCGAGACATATATTTTATTTTGCTTCCCAACCTTCACAACTGACACCAGACTGAGCAGATGAGCATAGACTGTCTGCGATTGGCAAGTCTCACTGGGGCATAGATTTTGGCTCGCGTCTTCCTATGGGCTGAAGATGGTTGAAACTCAGCTGCGTTAGGGTCATTTCTTTTCTGATCTCCACAGGTTTCGAACCCAACATGTTGGATGATGTTCTGCCTGTGCCAAGAGGTGGTTATATATATATATATATATACGGGTAAATTAAAAATAATTCACTAATCTGAAATGAGGCTATTTTGGGGATGATTCCCCTTACTAACCTTTAATCCAGTGAGGGAGAACAGTGAGGTCGTTATAATTTACCCTGAAATATATATATATATATATATACATGCTTGTAAACAATAACATCTCATTAGCACCATGATCTGTCCAAATTTTGTTGCTGGTGGTTGCTCCTAGTGCTAAAACCCAGGCTCCTCCTCCTGATATGACGCGGATCCTGAGTCGAGCAGTTGCGCAGTTACAACCACTAAGCGATATGATGAGGTTGATGGGATGTACATATATAACCAACAGTTAAATATATATATAAATAATATAATAATCAAATATATATGTAAAGTGTTACATATTTATATTTATATATATATATATATATACATATAGGTGCATATCATCATATTGTATATATAATACAGTATACATAACATTGTACATATATATATATGTATAATATTGTGTATTATATATATACACATTGCATTGTGTATATATATATATACACACACCTTCCGCTTCGACTCCTGAAAAGTGGGTAGCGAGATGTAGCGAGACCAAAATCACGTTTTCTTCGGATATGGAAGCTGAAGGCTCAATATATATATATATATATATTACCGATTTCATGATTTAGCAATATATCGGCGCATTAGTATTTTACATGATGTTACCATGAAATGGTGTGGCTGAAATATAGGAATTCACTGGGCATTTGGGTATAATTTCCGTTTCTGACCATCATCAATGATGATGCCGCGGTGAGGTCGTTGCAATTGAGTTCTGCTTGAACGTGCGGGACCAAGGAATGGTAAGTGGTTGCTTAACCATTTGGACCTACATATATAATATATACATACATACACATATACTTAGCATTGCTTGGTTAGGATATGCATATTGGCAAAATATGGCATCATTATACACATATATATATATATATATTATACATGTGATGTAATGCAAAGTTCGTATTCATAAACCCCCAGAAGGTCTAAATCCATGAGAAGGTTGTTGTCACCCCTAAACAATGAGAAGCAAAACCAACAATAGGATTCACGAGATTTAGTAACTTGGTATGAGATAGTATGAGACATGCATTAAAACCGTTGGTTTTCCATTGGTTTTCCCTTAGTTTTTGATTCCCATTCCCAAAATTAGGATTTTCCAGAACGGCGTTGTTTAATAGGGGTGACCACCTATGTTGATTACTAGGGAGGGAACAGCCATCCAAGCAGGCTACCAGCGCGCAGCAAGGTGAGTTGGATGCTTCTCTGTGTTCCTGATCTAGACTTGCAAGACACGGATGTTGAATTGGAAAAATCCTGCTGTTATGTGTAATGTAGCGAAAAAAGAAATATATATATATATTATATATATATATAATGAATCACCTTGAAGAGGTCCAGAGACCAGTGGAAGAGCAACAGATCCAGCCAGATGCTGCTGGAGGTAGAAGCCTTTGTGGAGAACTCTAGCCGGCAGTGCGCCCAGTTTTTGTTTTTCGATGGTGTATCGCCTTGTGCTGGTTGACCGGAGCACTGCTGGCTGAATTCATTTGTTTCACGTTGGGCGCTGTCCATTAGGATATCATTGCCCCTGAAAGAAGAAAGAAAGACATATATAACTAATGAATATATATATATATATACATGTACATATATTATGTCAGGTTAGTTCTGACAACTTTTAGAGGGAACATATGGAAACATCAGGCTTGAAACCCTTGGATGTTGGCTTGTTCCCAGTAGGTGTCATTGCCGGGTTTCGTGGGTATAACTGCCATCTGCCAATGGCCACCCTGCATGTCAAGAGTCAATTTTGCGCTCCTGGCAAAGCGCATGATCGAAGGCGTGCAATCAACCTTTTTTCTCTTGAAACACAAACTGCTTTCCGTATGTTCAGACCTGGGTTGACAATTCCAATTGTAGATGTTGGCAAATTCCGCCCTTTTCTGAATCTGACAAAACCCATGGACAAGAAAACGGAACCATAAGGAAAACACATGAACAAACAAGCTCCTCCACAGCTGTCAAAGCATCGATTTTTTATTCCCCACCTCGTCCAAGACCTTGGGAGGCTCCTTGAAAACCTGGCCATGGCTGCAATGGTGTCGAATCTCAGAGGCCTCAATGATCTTTAAAGGGTGGTCCTGGGTCAACACAAAGAAACCCAAAAATACCAATCCAACTTGTCTAAGCATCCAGGTGGGTTTCCGGCCATGCTTGGCTTTCGACCCGGCCTCTATTTGCTTCCTTCCCCAAACATCCTTCATAGGAGGCCTCGGGGTGCTGGATCGCTTTGGATATCCTTGAGTTATGGTTTTACTTTTCAAGAATTTTCAAGATCTGTCTGTGTTTTAGTTGTCGCCGTGTCCGGAGTCCTCCTTGTTGTTTAAAACATGAGATGTTGGACTCAGAGAACGAAAAAAAAACACATTTGCCTCTGATTCTACCGTGGAGAGTCTGTGTTCCTCACCGATGATGGGACTCTAGTGAACCTAGCTACTTG